TACTGCAGCACAATAGATCATGGAAATCGTTACTTTTGATAAATTCTCACAAATCCAAATTACTGAGAGACGAGAAAAAGGGAATTTGGAAAATACAAAATACAAATGTCGAGCAAAAATGATGTCTCGAGCCTTGACTGATTGCGCGCTTAATGCACCTTACTTAAAAACTTGGCGAAAGATCGCGATCGATTCCGATGCATTACCAGATGAAGATTTGCCGTAAATATTCAAATAGGACTGAAGAATCATATTAAACAAAAAGCAATTATCCAGAATGAAAGTGAAAGTGAGAACAGGATGATAATACTTTTGTTATATGCAGGCGTGTAACCAATTTATTTACAAGCTTTGGTTAATTATTTGGCGATAGTTTCAATCAAAAAATAAAACATTTTAGACACTCTATTTGTGTTCCGATTATTAAGTATTTGGCGAATACGCTAGAACTATTCAACCTTAAAATTAAATTACATACAAATGAGAATCATACTGCAAATAAGGTCGCGGTTTGAAGTTTCTCAAAATTTACAATGAAAATAATTCCAACAAGGAACCGTAGCATTATCCATAAAGTTTGATAAGTGGGAAAGAAAAATGCTACAAGCTGCAGCGACAAAAAGTGAAAGTGAAGTTGACGCTTACTTCCAACAGTGCTGTCAGTTGCTAAGCAACTTGTCGAATTTTCTGATTGGTTCTTAAATAGTTGAGTAATGACATAAGATATTTTTATTGGTTGAAAAAAACTCACTGTATGTATGAGAAACCACTTACATTTATAAATAGAAAGTTGATGTAAAATATGCTATTAATAAATAGTCATAGAAGAAATATATTCTTTTACTACTCCATTTGTGTTTAATCATACTTTAACTTATGGATGGCGTCCATTACTTCCCCTAGGGTAATCCGAGAGGCCTCCTGCGCTGTTTTCGATTTAACGCGCGGGTCTTTTTTGTTGTATATTGCCAGAAATCGTGAAACTTGCTCTATAAGCAGTCCATCGCCCATTATGACTTCAGATCAAAACTAATTTTATATAAAATATGCACTAAACACCAAATACTTTACAAACATTTCGGAAACACACGGCTAAACAGCAAAAGGCGAAATAATATTGAAAAAAAAATAACCATTTTCCCAGCCAACATCAAAATCTTTTCTTAAAAATGTCTCTGAATTATTTCATTTACGAGTCAAAAAAAAGACTAATTTAAGACTTACCGTATCGACAAGCAAATTAATTACCTTTTAATTATAATAATTAAACCTATCGTACTTATCGGAACTTATCTTGAGAATTAACGTATTGAAATTATTAATTGACTACATTTTGATGTTGTTGATTAATAATTAAACTTACCGTAATTTACCGAGAGTTTATTAAATAAACTTATCTTTATGGTTTCTAAACAACATCTTTAGAAGGCTGTTGTTTTAGTTTTAACAACACTATTAATTTATTGCTTTTTTTAATACATAATATGTTGATTAATAATTTTATAAAAAACGTCTATTGGACGAAATGATCGAGATTAAAAGGCATTCAAATACAGTTAACAAAAGAACAGACATTGAAAATTTGTATACATGTTACTACAATCTAATATCAAAAATATAATAATAGGTATCTAAAGGGAACAGAGACAAAAACACTGACATTCCTGAGAGCGTCATCATTATAAAAAAAAAACTGTAACTTAATAGAATGCCAGGATCCTGCTATAAACTAGTGTACCTTGCTGTGTGTGGTTGGTGGCTGTATAATTTTTCGTGATACAGTGTTTTTTAAAAAAGAAATGTCCTTATACCTATATTCATAAGGTTCTACAAAAAATCCTCGTGTGTGACAAATGAGACCCTCTTTAATTGTAAGTGTTGGTTTGTTTTTTTTTTTTTTTCTTTTTTTTCGGCTGTAGCTATCCTATTTTGTTTGTGTATGTAACGATTAGGATAGGTCCATGTCTGAGTCAAAGTGGTTTTATTACGATTCATTTTTTTTTTATTTATTATTGTTTTCATTTGTGTTTTTTATCGATTTAATTTTTCTGCTTTTTATGAAAGATTATGTCCAAATCATTATTGTTGAATATTTTTAACATTTTTAATAGTTCAAATGACTTATTTCGTATACGAACTATCTCGTTGTTTCAGAGCCTTGAAAAAGAAAATATATTTTTCGAAACGTCGGCATATTAAAATTGGGTTTTAATTATTCCTGATCCAAGAACCCCAAAAATACCTTATACTGATAAAATTAAAAAGGATCAAAAACACAGTCGTTTTAAAAATTGTTAATTAGATTAAGGTGGTGCTCTGGGTTTAGCTGTAGATATGGTTTTGAAGAGTTGGTACTAGAATGTCCTGTGAGCTTAATAGTTTCTTGATCAACAACTCCATTTTTTGTTAAAGTAGAGATTGCAGAAGGATTGGGAATGATTGGAAATGATTGGTAATTTCAATTTTTTTTGTATCTAAGCCAATTTTTTCAGCAGACTGTTTTGTCCACTGTGATATGGTATTTAAACCCAAAGGCATATTTTTTACCATACTCCTTTTCTTCAGTTGGGATGTATAGTTAGAAATAGTCGGTCTGTGGTCAAGTGATGATTAGTTGATCTTTTTTCCATTAATTTTAAAAATAACCTGACTAGACACAGGTTTTCATTGATTTTGTTTCTTACTAGCCATTTACTATTTGCCAAACTTTCAAAGCCTCCTTGGGAAGTTTTCGAAAATATAGGATTATATTCAACCCTTCCAGAAAAGTTGCCTAAAAAATGTAATCTTTATGCAAACAAAATAAATATACCAATTATTTAGTTACCTACCTTTGAGGTCCAGTTCTTTTTCAAAATTCTGAATTTTACAATTAGGGGCTTCATTTTCACGCCAGGCAAGTTCAAAGGAGTAAATGTGGAAAAACATTTTTTGTAATCCGTCTGGATTGTCCTCGTCGCAGCATTTGACCAATTCCAGAAGATCTTCAGGGGTAAATGCTTTTGAACTCGCTTTTCTTTTTTCTGGCACTGCTTGAAGTTGCCAACGCTTCGTATCTTGTGCCAATTGAGCTGATTTAAATATTATGTCCTCAAATGGTTCACTTTTTTGCCAAAATATTTGAAATATTTCTCTTGCACCATTTGTGCCACTGTAATAACTCGAGACGATTTGGGGTTCTTAGGCCTTCAGTAAAACTACTATGTTGGTTTACTTCATAATGTATATTAATATCATAATGCATTTTCATAAGCGAACAGCGGTCATTGTACCTGCTGACTTAACAATTAGGTAACGGCAATAATATAATAATATAATATTAGCTAACTAATCAATTTGCACCATCAGATGCCATACAGGGTGTATTTACCCTATTACACCTCCCCCCAATAAATAAAAGAATTTTCTTTCTATTGAATGAAAATTCTTCTTCTTATCAGAAAGTAGGTAAAATGTTAAAATGTGTAATACAGCAATAAAATACAACCAATAAAAAAAAATTAAAAAAAAAAAAATTTTACCTTGTTTTTTTCCAATTAATTAAAAATAATTATTTTCTAGAATCCTTCTTAAAACTTAATGAAATTAAAAAAAAATACACCTAATAAGCATACAATACTGGTACTAGGGGCCCCATAATAAAATACCTAACAATTACATAATATTTCCTAACTCTTAACTACACAATATAGATTTTTGTCCTGTTCTTATGAACGATAATTTCTTTATTATTTTTCACAATTTTTACATTAGGGGACAAATCCTCTAATACTAAATATGGTCCCAAAAAACAGGGACTGGAGATCTTATCTCCCGTCTCATTTTTAACTAAGACCATATCTCCTTTTTTGTAAGAAATAGGGTTTGAAGTTTTATCATAATTTTGTTTTCGCTTCAATTTGGAATGAATTAAATTTTTTCTCGCATCATCGTTTGCCTTTTGTAATCTGTATTTCAGCTCTAAAGGGTAGTTGTCAAAATTATTTATAGGATCGATGGTATTGGTTAAGTTACTTGGAATGTGACATTTTCGTCCGAAAACTAGCTCAAACGGAGTATATCGAGTTTCTGAGTGCACTGTGGTATTGTAAGAAAAACTCCAATATGGAATCCACTCGCTCCAAGCAGCATTGTTATCAGATGCTTGGGTTCGGAGGAATGCTCCTAAGTCTTTATGTGAATTTTCCAGTGCGCCTATACTTTCGTGATGATAGGCAGTTGATTGAAGATGATTTATTTTCAAGATTTTCGCAATTTCGGCCATAGTAGAAGAGATAAATTCGGTACCCCTATCAGTAGCTATTTCTGAGGGAATTCCGTATCTCAAAATAAAGTTATCCACGAAACTTTTCGCAACAGTTAATGCATCTTTGGTTTTCAATGGATATGCTTCAATGAATTTTGTTAATTCGCACTGAAGAGTTAGAAGAAAATTCATTAATATCCGTTGGCAGAGGTCCTACCAAATCTAAATATACCTTTTGAAATGCAAAATTAGCTGTACTTGTAATTACCATGGGTTCTTTAATGTAATGATTTGTATGTTTCATTTTTTGGCAACTGTCGCATCTTTTTACAAATTTTTGAACGTCTTTATACATTCCTGACAAATAATAGTACTTTTTAATATTATTCACCATTCGATTAATTCCCGCGTGTCCACTAGTGGGCAGTAAATGAAAATCATTTAATATTATTCGCTTTTCGTCCTTGTCAACAATTCTTTTCACATCTCTAATAACATATATACGGGGACCGGTCCAATTATCATCTTTTATTTCTTTCAATATCCATTCAATAATGTCTTTATTATTTTTATCTTTTAACATAACTAATTCGCAAATTTTTAATCGATTGCTTAGAATAATCAAATCTCTCAACATTCCGTCTCGCGTCAATGTTGATCGAGCATTTTGATTAAAATAAATAGCAGCATGCGAAGGAACAAAATGGAAATCTCCCAAACTTGCGGACACGATATTTTTAAGTCGACTTATTACTTTTTCTGAGGCTGGCATTAATTCGATACTATTTTCAGGTTTTTTCAGTATTTCTACAATATCTGGTTGATCAGGCCAAACATTTGTAGTTTCCTCTGCTTCCTGTATATTAGCATTGGAATTGCGTGCACACTGGGCTCTAGTCAATACGGCAATTACTTTATCATTCATACTTTTTAAATCATTAGACGTTAAGGTGACTCTAGATAGAGCGTCAGCCGTCACATTTTCAGATCCCCTAACATACTCAATATAAAAGTCATATTATTCTAAGCCTAACCTAAACTTTGTTAACCGACTTGAAGGTTCAGTCATATTAAATAGGTATATTAAAGGTCTATGGTCAGTCAAAATTTTAAAACGTCGCCCAAATAAATAAGGTCTGAAATACTTTATCGCCCAGTAAATAGCTAAAAGTTCTTTCTCTATTGTTGGATAATTAACTTCCGCTTTATTCAAACTTCTACTTGCATATGCAACTGGTTTTTCATTGATATTTGATAAGGTAGCTCCGATGGCAATATTAGAAGCATCAGTTCGAAGAATGAATTCGCTTTTATCTGAAAAGTCTGGGTAGTCTAGAACTGGAGGATTAATAAGAGCATTCTTGAGAAATAAAAATGATTTTTCGCATTCATGAGTCCATTCAAAAATAGCATATTTTTTACAAAGTTTATTTGTTTGCGAAAGCTACAAATCTCTTTAATTCATTTGCATTTGTTGGCCTGGGATAATTTTGAAGAGCTTTAACTTTACTATTGTCGGGCAAAATTCCATTTTCTGAAATAACATGTCCAAGGTAAAGGATTTGTTTTTTCAAAAATTCACATTTTGAGGGATTTAATTTTAAATTGACTTCACGAAGCCTGTTGAAAACAGCAATTAAATTTTTATTATGGTCTACGAGATTTCTTCCAAAAACTATTAAGTCGTCGAGATAAACAAAACATTTTTCGTAGTTTAGTCCCGACATAGCAACTGTCATAAGCCTCGAGAATGCGCTTGGACTAATTTTCAATCCCATTGGCAACCTTTTCATTTGCCATTGGCCCCGATCAGTAGTAAATGCTGTGTACTTTCTACTTTCTTCAGTTAGCTCTACCTGATAATATCTCTGACTAAGATCCAAATGTGAGAAATATATAGCTCCTGCAAGGGAATCAAAAATATCGGTAATATTTGGAAGTGGAAATTTTTGGTCGCGAATTTGTTGATTAACTAATCTATAATCTACAACTAATCTTGTTGAATCCTCAGTCAAACCTTTTTTTGGGACTAACAGAACCGGAGAAGACCATTCACTCTGTGCTCTTTCAATGATGTCATCCTCATACATTTTCGAGACTTTCTTATGTATCTCATATTTTTGCGAAAAAGGCAATCTGTATGGTTTTACATAGGAGGGTGTAGCGTTTTTTTTTTAACTGAATTGATTCTTTATAGATATTAGTGACAGTTAACTTATCGTCTGGCATGTGAAAAATATCTGCATATTTAGCACAAATATTTTCGATTGAATTTTGCTCTTTCGGGTCTAAATAGTTCAATTTTAGTAGTTCAAATAATGTTTTCACACGAGCCACCGATATGTCCGACTTTGAAAATTGATAGAATTCATAACAGCTTAACCTTTTTGTTTTAGGGATACAATTTTTCAAGCAAACATCAGTTTCCCGAGTATTTAAAATTTTTACTGGTATTTTTCCTTGTTCAGGTCTTACAATCATACCTGCTATAAAAACACCTTGGCATAATTCGCTTGGTATAACCACACAATCCTCTGTTATACCAACCGAAACATGACAAATTGTTTCACATCTTGGAGATAACATTAACACATTATCATTGCTATTAGAGTTAAAAGGTAAAATTATGGTATCTTCAAAATTTGTTAAAGATAATGTATTTTCCTCGTAGTTTAGGATACCATTATATTTTCTTAAAAAATTCTCGCCAATTATTGCATCGCTAGAACAAGTAAGTGACGTAAAAACGTAAAATTTTTCTTTAAAAGATATATTTCCAACTTTCAATTTTAGATAAACATAACCTGGTGAGGTTATAGTTCCTCCGACTCCTTTTATTTCTACATTGTCATTATACACTCGTGAATTTGAATTTAAAACATTTGATTTTATTGCGCACAATGAAGCTCCTGTGTCGACCAAAATTTTTACGTTTTTATTAAAGATAATGAAATTGACGGTGTTTGTAAAATTATCCGAATACGTAAATATTTCATTTCTATTTTTCCTGTTAGGGACGAAAAAAATTATTCTCCATAGAAGTCGTAGGTATTAGGTTATTCGCCCTCGACGTGCTAGCTTGCAAGTTTTCATCCTGACCATTACCTAAGTTACTCTCAATAACATTTATGTTATGTCGCCTATCTGACCCAGAAAAACGATTAGTACGGGTTCCGCGATTGTTGAACCCGCCACGAGAATTTCTTTGAAAACGTTGACTGTGTTGAAAATTCCCATTATTATTATTCCGATTTGCACTCGGATTTGCATTATTAAAATTTATATTAGGGCGGTTTGCAAAATTTGTATTTCTATTGGAATAGTTATTATTCGAATAAGAACCTCTATTTTGAGAAGAACCTCTCATAGAGTTCCTCATAAATCTTCCTTGAGCTCTCCTAGAAGCGGTATAAATTTGAGGGTTACTATTAAAAAATGTTGTTTCCTCATCTTGGGCTGCTCTAATCGCGTCTTTTAAATAGGAAAAATTTCGCGAGGCCATTATCGTACTCAGTCTCTGATTGCGAAGGCCATCCGTAAATTGTTTCAAAGCTAACCTTTCGTTTATTGGTTTCAATACGTTGTAAGCATTTTCATCTCCTTTTGCCTGAGATATTGTTAAATTAACGAATAGCTCCTCCAAATCTTTTCCAAAACTTTCAATAGATTTATCGCCTTGTTTAGAACGAAATAACTTCAATTGCAAAGCACTATCAGATTTAATAGTTAAAAAGTGCTTTTTAATGTCACCCAATAGATCATTTACTGAGTTATAACTAGTACTAAGTCTCAACTTTGCACTGTTTGACAACCTAGTTTTCAGAACAAATTTAATTAATAAAGGTTTACCTTCATTATTAAGCATAGAATCGTAAAGTTCTATTGCGTCGATAAGTTTTTGCGTAGTATTCTCGGTATCATCCATAATTGGTAACAAACTAACAGCAACTTTAAGATCAAATGAAGCCATTTCTGCTGCTTCGGTTTGCTTATCTTTAAAATTTAGAATCTCGTCATAAAGTTTATTAATTTTTACTAGTAATTCGTTAACTAAGCGGATTTCAGAGTCATCAAGTTCAGAGTTGTCTATTTTTTGATTAATCGAGGATACTTCTCTTTTTACTTCCAAGTAAATGGCTTTTGCCTCATTGAGTTTTTGGTCAAAAATTGGAGTTTTGCGCCGTTCGTAATTTAATTTAACAATATAACTTCTTATTTTTTGCAAGGAAACATAACTTTTATCTAAAACACTATCGCCCATTTAATAAACAAGTCAAAAAAAAAAGAAAATCAACTTTCCAAAAAAAAAGATTTACGCGCATACCTGTTTTAAGGGTCCATATTTTCCTTACTGGCTATCAATTATCAATAATAATACACAAAAATGTCAATCTTACAACACTAAAATATAAAATTACTTACATGGTTTCAATTATAACTTTTAAGTACTTAATAATAGCTTTTTTTTTTTCTCATAAAGTCTTAATTCAATGGAAATACTTCTTTGTTCCTACACTATTGCCAACGTATCATGTATCTGTATTATTTTTTGACTCTTGCATGTCTCATATCCTAAAAAAAAAAAAAAACCTAAAAAAGAAACTACTGCTCCTGGACATCATCAACTAGATTGTTTTGTGATCGTCTTAACTCGTGCTTGATAATCTCCCTTCTAATAGATCTTCTTGTTTTTTCCTTATATGTTTTGACGAGAAAATGGAGCACTGCTAATAAAACAACGGCCACTATAACTATAAGTAGCGCCTCTGTAAGTGAAATTCCTTGGCTATCTTGACTTCTAGTGGTGGCATCGCAAGATCCAGATTGCGCTATTACCACTTTTTCCTCAATTTTGGACTGCTGCTTTCCCATTTTCTCCCAATTATATCTTACTTTTAGAATTTTTCACCAACATTAAGGCCTCTGGCAGGGTCGCCATGTAATAACTCGAGACGATTTGGGGTTCTTAGGCCTTCAGTAAAACTACTATGTTGGTTTACTTCATAATGTATATTAATATCATAATGCATTTTCATAAGCGAACAGCGGTCATTGTACCTGCTGACTTAACAATTAGGTAACGGCAATAATATAATAATATAATATTAGCTAACTAATCAATTTGCACCATCAGATGCCATACAGGGTGTATTTACCCTATTACACCACTGTATTCCACAAGGATTTTATACTAGTCTCTTTAAAGTCCTCTCCATTTCTTTTCTTCATGTTATAACCATAAACTTCTAAAATTTTAGCCGAATCCTCTGGCGAAGTAATTTTCCCAAGTTGTAATTTCTTTCCTCAAGAAATTAGGCAATCTACTGACCTGTCAAAAACGAAATTCAATATGGAAGTTCGGGTCAAGCATTGGGTCAAGCACTGTGTTGTTTATTCTGTATGTCATTGATTCTGTCACATTCTGGACAAACGTCAAGATTTGAATTATCGGACTTTGTGTTTTTTTGTGTGTTTAGTTAGGTATTGTGTTAATTGAAATGCCAGCAATCTGCATCGTAATTGGGGTGTGGAAGTCGAGGTAACAGGGATAATGTGAAATTTTATTCAGTTCCTGCTATTTTAAATCATCGGCTTTTGATCTAGAAAAAGGAATTATCAAAACAACGCAGGGCTTTATGGATTGCTGCAATTAAAGGAAAGGATCTAACAGAGGCTCGATTTTCCCTTAATAATAATACCTTAAGATATTCACTCTCCATCTCAGAATTTATTATTAAATTAAAAAATACGTAGAAACACTATAAACACTATAAAATTCACTTTGAAAGCAAAAGCCAGAATTTAAAAAATACGTAGAAATAGTGAAAACTATAAAATTCACTATGAAAACAACAATATGACCAAAACCAATGAAAAATACGTAGAAACACATAAAATTCACTTCGAAAGCAACAAGGGCCAGAACTCAAATGCTCTCCTTATGAACGTCACCGGCTTGTCACCGCAATATTTGACCTGAACGGCCATTAAAAAATCACGTGATTGAGATTGCCTAATTAGGTGCTAGCAGACATCTCACACATAACCTCACTTTCGATGGGGGGATATTTCAACAAACAAAAAAAGGCGCAAAGTGAGAAAGTGTTCTATTGTTAATTGTGGACTCCTGTGCTAGAACTTTTCAGTTGGTGTTTTTTATTATTTATTGTTTTTTGATATTATTTGAGGTAAACAAGTACCTAGCTACTTTCTCTAGTTTTTCAAAGATTGTAAAGTGTAGAGTAGAAGCCAAATTACCGTTCTTTTTCTATTTAATAGATTTCCAGAATGGTGAAGTTTTGTTCGGTTGCGAACTGTGGGAACCGCTCGAATAGAGACAATGTGATCTCGATATTCGCTTAAGCAGGAAGCAGTGCTAACCACCGAGTTCTACTATACCCCAGAACCTGATTATAGGAAATATCTACAAAGTCACAAAACTCTTTCAATCTCTCGACTCTAATTGTATAGATATGAAAATACTTGTAGATTTTACATATAATATTTTCTTCCGCCAGTAGGCAACACCCCAACTGCTGATTCTACACTATTGTGAACAATATGTGCCATGCATCCCATACCCATTGGCCAATGTTTTTTTAGATTTTTTTGCAATTTTCTCTACACATTTTCTTCCCCTTATCTCTTTGCCCCACCAAACATAGAAATGGTATCTTCAGCAAACAAACATACAAATTCGGACACCAAATTAAATTTTTGCAGCACAGACATAACATGTTCTGAAAGAACAGTTGAAGTTTCACATTTAACTGATGAGAACTCTAACACCTTCAAGTGTACACCAGTTTCCGGGCTCAAATATCTGATTAGAACTGGAAAGATTTTAATTGGCTTGTGGTTACTGGTGTCAATTGATACGCTTATAAAATTACTATTTTCTAATACTTCTTTGAGAACTTTTTTGCACCATGGAGCTAAAATATTATTTACTCTGACTGACAGCTTTGGTCCTAGCGCAACCAAACTTGGCATCAAACATTTTCTTTATTACTTTGGATGTACTGTCCACGGAAATGTAGCTATGCTTGTGGCAAACGGTGTGGTTCGCAAAACTACCTTCAGCTGCCGATAATATTGCATCTTCATTCCCCAAAATCATTTTTGTTTAAAATAGAAGCTACGGCGCCCGCGACAAAGTAGTACAGCATTCATTCCATTTATTCAGTTTATAATTATAAGGAAAACACTAACCGAAACTGTTATTGCTCCAACACTTACTGAAAGCTTATGTATGTTTATTTTCAACTGTATATGTAATATTGACATTACAGACTTTTTAAAGTCTTCAAAGTGTCACATTTCTGTACTTTTACATTTTATCGGGATTGCAATGCAATGTATATGCCTGCCTAGGCAGGTATATCCGTTTCCATCCCGATTTTCCTGCATGTTTTTTTTTTTGTCAAAATTGATGACAAAAAAAATGGAAGCTGATTTTTTCTAAGGCCAATTTACACTATTATTTCGTATCATAAAATCTTTTGCCTCAGAAATTGAGTGTTGAAAATAAAATAGTATACAAACCTCGACGGAAAACTTCATTGCTGTCTCGAGGTTTAGTTTATCTTGATCAGCAATGAAGCATTTCCCGTCTCGAATTGTAATATACTATTGCTCGTTTTCTGATGTTGGACAAGATTGACAAATTGGGGACCAAACAGGCAGGTAGGTATACACTTTTTTCCAGTTTATGCGTGGCACAATTGCAGATCAAAAATTCTTGGAGAATATTTAATTTTAACAAGCCATGGGAGAATTGCTGATTTACCGAAAAAGCCTAATGTTCTACTGATTGGATTTATCATGTCTCAGAAATAATTGGGAAAAATGAAAAGCGCCTTTAAAAAAAAATTATTTTTATGATAAGACATACCTGATAGTTATTTGTATACCAAGGCCGCGAAATGCCCCTTTAGCGTGCGTAGAGAAAAGTTATCGCCGAGGAGGCAAGATAATCTCGAAAACGCTAAAAAGATTCGCGGTCATGGTATTCACGCAATTTTTTGTGCAACTATAAGGATTATGTGAAGTTACAGAAAAATTGTTTGGATTTGACACATTTTGAACGTAGGGTGTGGCGGCAGCGAAATGGAATTTCGCTGCCTGTGTGGCGGTCGCGACAGCTCATTTCGTTGACGGTCGCACAAAAAAATCAATAATACAGAGGTTTTGGACTTCTCGGATATATTTTGCACAGCTTTATATTTTACAATAGCACTAATTTTTTTTGGCAATGGTTTTACATTAGGAGTGCAGTTCTCTTTCACACAGTACCACAGGACCAAAATACCTCTCCACTCTGCTTATACCAGCCTATTTGGGGCAAAAGAGGTAATCATTTTAGTGAGTGAAAATTTTGTGTTGACTCTCATTTTTGGAGTGCAATTTGGCTGTCCACAATTTGACAAACCCATTAAAAGTTAGTAGGTACTAGACTAATTAAATCATGATTGTTTAGGACCTTTTGGGAAAAAACCCTCATTAAAACCTAGTTTTGATTATTTTATTTCTTTGTACTTTCACACATAAATAGTACCCTAGCCAGAAAGAAGAGATCATTATATTCTTGGCATTCAGAGAAAACGTTTATATGATATTTATTTTTCATCAGTTGTATTGTGTGTGTATTGTTGTCCAAGTAAAAGTACCCACGTTACGCGTTACAGTTACAAGTATTAGTCACGAGGAACACAAGGTAAGAAATAGGGATATTATTATTTGTCATTGGTTTTATTTTATCCCTAATTCAGAAGAATTCGTTGAAATTAGAATCCAATTGGAATTCAAAATTAATCTAAATAAAAAATTATAATTTCAAAAAAATGCTTGCTTATTGCTAATAGGCCACTTTCACATTTTTTCAAAAACATTTTTATCTTATTCTGTTAGTCATTCTAATAACATCTGCTTACTTTTTTGTGCAACCGTCCGCGAAATTATTCACTTTCGCGGCCGACACACCTGAAGTGCAGAATGTGTCAAATCCATACAGTTTTTCTGTATTTTTTCTTACATAATTTTTATCGTTGCACAAAATCAGGGGCGGATGGGCCCACCGGGAAGCATGGAGGTAAGGAACACCCTGTTTTGCATTCGCAAATCCGTTCGACAACGATTCGGTTTTTTAAATGTAACACCCGTGGTTGCATGGGATGTGCGCTTTATTGGGTGTTACTTACCCTCGGTATTAGATGAGCCTATTTACTATTACCATCTTGTAAATTATTATTTTAGGGCATT